GCACTACAAGCAGCAGCAGCAGCAGCAGCAGCACTATGCGCAGCAGCAGCAGCGATAGCGGGGGCCTCCCTCTCTGCAGGCGCCCCGAAGCAGCTCTATTAATGAGCCTCCAGAAGTGATAAATATATAAATTTATTTATTTATTTATTTATTTGTTTCTTTCTTTCTCAAATCCATCCGAGCTGGAGCTGCTGTTCGCCCGGTGCGAGTCGCACCCGCGAAAAGGAGACTGACTGCTAAGAGCTAATTTGCACCAATGTTGCTGCTGCTGCTGCTGTTACTGCTGCTGCTGCTCCTGCTGCTGCCGTTGCTTTCGCTCGAGAGCAGCAACTAGCTACCCGAGGGGCCGACTCGAGCTCGCCGCTTCCTAGTCTTCCTCGTAACAGTGTTGTAGCAGCAGCAGCAGCTGCTGCAGCAGCAGGCGCTGCAGCAGCAGCTGCTGCAGCGGCAGCTGCTGCAGCAAGTAAGAAGCTAGAGAGTCTTGCGGTGTAAAATGCTGGGGCCGCACTCCTCGTACTCCTGCAGCAGCGGCACAGCAGCAGCAGCACAGCAGCAGCAGCAGCACATTAAGTGTTACGAATGAGCTGCTGTCTGTAGCTAGCTGGGGCCAGGCTGGCCCTGTGGCCAGCTCCTTTCTGTAGCTAGCTGCTGCTGCAGCTAGCTACCTATTGAAGGCTGCTGCTGCTGCTGCTGCCGGCTAGCTGCTGAGTAGCCAGCTGCTGTTTGCCGCTGGCCATTCGCCAGCTAGCTAGCTGCTGTTGCTTGTGCAGCTAGCTAGCCCAGCTGTTGGCCACCTGTACACGGCAGCTAGCCAGCAGCTAGCTAGCTGCAGCCAGCGGCTAGCTAGCTGCAGACAGCAGCTAGCTCACTGCTGGCTAGCTAGCTGCAGCCCGCAGCTAGCTAGCTGTTGCCTAGCTAGCTGTTGGCTAGCTAGCTGGCTGTTGGCTAGCTAGCTGTTGGCTAGCTAGCCACAGGCTTGTCCAGTGAATCTTTGATTCGTTGGAAGTGCATTTCAAATCATTTTAAATCCTCTTTCCTTAATTCTTTTTAAATTCTTCTTTCGGGGATAAAAGACGGAGTGAAGTGGCTCTTAAATGCCTTCAAATAAAAGAACAAATGGGGCTTCTGGGGGCCCCCTGGGCCCCTTTCAGGGCCCCCAAAGTCCAGAAAGAAGAAAAAGGGGCCCCAAATGGTATTCTTTTTTTCTTACTTGTCTGGGGACCCACATCTTCTTAAAACTCGAAAGAGATGCCAAAATGGATCCGCCGATCCAAGTGGAGAACTTGCGTTCTGGGGGCGCGGAAATTCGAATCTGGGCGAAATGAAAGAAAATTAAACTTTGAAATTAAATTTTAAGAAGACAAATGGAACTTATCTCGCATTTTAAATGCCAAATGGACCCTTTAAAACTCTCCAACAAACTCAGGAACAAAACTCGCAAAAATAAATTTCTCTCGGAGAAAAACACGCAAAAATACCAAAAACACACTTCCAGCCGGAGAATAAACGACAAATGAAACCAATTGGAGAATAATTCGTAGAAATGATCAAATAATTGGTATTGTTTGTGAAACTTGGCAACTTTTTGAGGAAGTAAATGGAAAAAAAGAAGAAAAAAGAAGAAAAAAGGGGAAAAAACGAAAAAAAATAACAAAAAAGGACCCACTTTGATGTCTTTGGGAGCCGCCTTGCGGATCTCGTTAAGCAGCCGGTCACCGAAGCCGTGGAAGTAAGTGCTGCCTGCATAAATGAAAAAGAAATAAAATAAAAAGGGAAAACAAAGGAAAAAGAAATAAAATAAAGCATAAATGGGTCGCTAATTGTAAATTAAAAGTTAATTTGATTCAAAATGATGCAAGCAGCAAAAAAAAAACGAGAAAATAATCTTCCAGATTCGCAGCACCACAAACAAAACAACGAAAAGGCACTTAACACCCAAAACTCTGGGGCTGCATGCATGCATGTATGCATGCATGCACGTATGCATGCATGCATGTATGCATGCGTGCATGCATGTGTGCATGTATGCATGCAGGGGAGGCCCTGCGGGCGCGCCCGAGAGCCCCAAAGTGGACCCAGGTCTTCCGCGGCCTCACGCGCACGCATGCATGCATGCAGACGGCCCCACACCCTGCATGCATGCATGCATGCATGCGCGCATGCATGCAGGTTTCGGGGCTCTGGTGTTTACCTCCTGCAAGCACAATTTGGGAGAAAAGAGTCCGCCTGAGGTCAAGGTCAGCTCTGGAAATGGAATTGACGACCAGCTCGTGGACGCCTGAACGCAAACCCTAAACCCTAAACCCTAAACCCTAAACCCTAAAGGAATGAAAACAAAAATAAAACAGAAGAGAACAAGTCTTCCAACAGGCCGAAAGCCTCAGAAAGAAGACCCACAGCATCGCAAGCAAACAAAGCCATACAAGCACTGTTGCTGCTGCTGCTGCTGCTGCTGCTGCCGCTGCTGCTGCTGCTGCTGCTGCTGCTGCTGCGCACCTGGGTACTCGAGTCCTACGAGGGACGGGTGGAAGAGAATTTCGGGGGCCCTGTACCTCTCGGCCCCCACCTGCAGCAAAAGGAGACAAATAAAAATTCATTAAAGCATTTGAAGAAAATTAAAAAGAGACAATTAAATGAACTTAAAGAGATAATAAAGTCCTCTAAAACGTTTTTAAGAATATTAAATTGAAGAGAAGCATTTAAATCAATTACAAGAGACAATTCAAGGCAGGCACGCGCAGCAGACGCCGAAGCTGCCCATTCAGTAACCCTAAACCCTAAACCCCAAACCCTAGACCCTGAACCCTAAACCCCAAACCCTATACCCCAAACCCTAAACCCTGAACCCCAAACCCCAAACCCCAAACCCCAAACCCCAGACCCCAAACCCCAAACCCCAGACCCAGAACCCCAAACCCTAAACGTTAAACGCTAAACGCTAAACGCTAAACCCTAAACCTTAAACCCTAGTTCACCGAGATGGTGGTCCCGTCCGGCAGCTGGAAGGGATAGCCGCCTCCGCTTTTGTCTTGAGTTGTGATTTCTTCCTTTTGGGGATTGAAGGCCACATAGCAGGCCTGTTCTTTGATTTGGCGCACTATTTCAAACTCCGCCTGTCCCAAACCCCAAACCCTAAACCCTAAACCCTAAACCCTAAACCCTAGACCCTAAACCCTAAACCCTCCCGCCTGCACCTCCCCGCGGCGCTGGCCCTGGCGCCCTTGCGCCGCCCCGCCCCAGCCCACCGCCCCCGCACCGCCGGCGCCCAGCGGCGAGCGCCTAGGGTTTAGGGTTTAGGGTTTAGGGTTTACGGAGGTGTGGAAAATGTGCCCCGCCCTGCGCAGCAAAATCGCCAGCCGCTCCGTCACGTCCCGCCCCCCCAAGTCCGCACGCAGCACTGCATGCGCGAGCGAGAAGCCCTCGACCACGGGCACTGCGTGGCTCACGCCGGCCCCACAGTCGAGGACCAGACCAGTGGTTCGCCCGCTGCTGTAGCTGCAGCAGCAGCAGCAGCAGCAGCAGCAGCAGCAGCGGCAGCGGCAGCGGCAGCGGCAGCGGCAGCGGCAGCGGCGGGTGCAGGGGAGGGGAGGGGACGGGGGAGGGAGGAGGGGGAGGGGCAGCAGGAGTGGGAGCAGCAGCAGCAGCAGCAGCAGGAGTGGCAGCAGCAGCAGCAGCAGCAGCAGCAGAGAGGAAAGGCAGGAGAGGAGATTGGGGGGATTTAATGGGGAGGTGCAGGGGGGAACTTGGGGGGGACAAAAAAAGATAAAAAGGAGGGAAAAAGAAAAAAATAAAAAGAAATGAAAAAGAGATAGGTCGGGAAAATAAAAAGGAGACGAGTAAGGGAGAAGACGGAGACAAGGGAGGAGACAAAAAGGAGACGAAAAGGAAAGAAAGAGGAGACAAAAAGGGGCAAATAAGGAGACAAAAAGGAGACACATATGGGGACAAAAAACATACAAAAAGAAGAAGAGAAGGAGACAAAAGGAAGAGAAAAAAGAGACAAAAAGGGGACAAATAAGGAGACAAAAAGGAGACAAGTAAGGAGACAAAAAGGAGACAAAAAGAAGTGAAAAGGAGTCCAGAAAGAGTCAAAAAGAGTCAAAAAAGAGTCCAAAAAAGTCAAAAAAGGAGGAAAAAACGGAAAAAAGAGGAAAAAAACAGAAGAAACAGCAAAAAAGGGGACAGAGATAAAGAGACAGTGGGTTTTACAGAGCGAGGATGGGCTGGGCGGAAAAGAAAAGAGCTGGAGAATTAAAAGTTTCGAAAAATATCTCTGCAGCTTTTTCGCGCTGTCTCCGCGGGTTCAAGGCGCTCTCCGTGAGCAGCACTGGGTGCTGGGACACGCAGAAGGAGACAGGCGGAAATGAAGGCAAATGAGCGGAAATTAGGGGAAATAAATGCAAATAAATGCAGATAAGTGGAGATAAATGGAGGTAAACGAAGATAAAGGGAGATATATTCAACAACTGGAGACAAATGGAAAGAAAGGGAAACGAAAAGGAGAAAAAAGGAGAAAAAATGGGGAAAAAGGGACAAAAAGGAGAAAAAGGAGACAAAAGGAGACAAATGGAAATAAAGGAAATAGATTCAGACAATGGAAATAAATGGAGAAATGGGGACAAAAGGAGACAAAAAAGAGAAAAAAAGAAGGAAAAGAGAAAAAATGGAAAAAAAAGAGACAAAAGGAGACATATAAAGACAAAAGGAGACAAATTAGGGATTAGGGTTCAGAATTAGGGTTTAGGGTTTAGGGTTTAGTGTTTCGGGTTTGGAGTCACACAGTTCAGAATTAGGGTTTATGGTTTCAGCTGTGGAGTCCCACGGTCTAGAACCGGCTCTCAGGATTTAGAACTAGGGTTTAGGGTTTAGGGTTTGGAATTAGGACTTAGGGTTTGGAGCCACATAGTTTCAAATTCGGAATAAGGGCTTCGAACTAGGGCTTAGGCCTCGGAATTAGGGCTTCGAACTAGGCTTTCGAACTAGGGCCTAGGGCCCAGGGCTCCGGTTTAGGGTTTAGGGTTTAGGGTTTAGGGTTTGCGGACTTCTTCGGAGTTGACGTTCAAGTTGCTGAAGACGAAGCCCCACAGAGTCTCCATGTCCAGCCAGTCCTCCACTATGCCGTGCCTCATGGGGTACCGCAGCCGCAGCAGGCCCCGCATAGCTTCCTAAATAAATAAATAAATAAATAAATAGATAAATAAATAAATAAATAAATAAATAAATAATAAATAAATTAGTTGGAGTTGGTGGGGGAGGGGTTTAGGACGCGGAAGCAGAGGCGAGAGCAGCACGCACGGGGCAGCAGCAGCAGCAGCAGCAAATGCAGCAGCAGCAAATGAAGCGGAAGCAGCAAACGCTGCAGCGGCAGCTACAGTACAGCAACAGCCGCAAGTGTAGCAGCAGCAAGTGCAGCACCAGCAAGTGTAGTAGCAGCAAGTGTAGCGGCAGCGAGCGCAGCAGCAGCAAGTGCAGCAGCAGCAGCAGCAGCAGCAAAAAGGCTCACGGCTTTCGGCCCTACGAAGACATCTCCCTCTGCAGCTCCAGCCATGACTCTTTTGTGTTTTGGCCGCCCCACGCTGCAGCAGCAGCAGCAGCAGCAGCAGCAGCAGCAGCAGAGTTACGGCAGTCAGTAACGCAGGCGGCCTCCAAACCGACGCCCTAAACCCTAAACCCTAAACCCTAAACCCTAAACCCTAATTTCTGCATCCCACGCCCTTCGCTGAAAAGCCTCGAGAGCGATGCAGCCTCAGCAGCAGCCGTCCGCCCCGTGTCTGAAGTGCCGGAGCTCAAAACTCAGGGTTTAGGGTTTAGGGTTTAGGGTTTAGGGTTTACAAGGTGGGGCAAATTGCCTTGGGGGTGTCGTCGCCCGCAAAGCCGGTCTTCAAAAGGCCAGTGCCATTATCAATGACAAGAGGCTGGTTGGCAATGACTTCTTCGAAGACAGACGCCATTTTAGTTAATTAATTTAATTAAATAATTTAATTAACTAATTAATTTATTTAATTAATTAACTAATTAGTTTGTTTATTTGTTTCGTTCTGATTTCCGCGGCGTTTGTTGCTGCGGCCTGGCGCGGGTTTTGCTGCTGTAGCTGTTCTTCGCGCTGCCCGCGAGGCGACGCTGCTGCTGCTGCTGCTGCTGCTGCTGCT